GGGGTGACTTTTGCATAGTAAAAATTCTGTTTTCTTAAAACAGCGGGATCGTAAGCGGTGGGATCTTAGGCGGAGACTACTGTAATAGTAATAATAATAATTATAATAATAATAGTAAATAGCATTTGTATAGCACATATCCCTGCTCGACAGCAAACTGTATGCGCTTTACACTCTTACTCCAGCAGACAATAGAACACTCCGAAACATATTCAGTTTCCCAGGAAGCATACAGGGCAAGCAGCTGACTAAGCGCTAAAACACTAACAAACTAACAAGATCTTTCACTGTTTATAGCTTATAGCTGGGTACTCATTCCCACCTGCGTGAAGTGAGGAAAATTCGTGTAAAGTGCCTTTCCCAAGGACACAACGTCGGGCCCCTGATGGGCTTCAAACCTATGACCTTAGGGTTGCGAGTCTGAGAGCCTGACAACTAGGCCATTGAAGCCATGTATTTGACAAGGCTATCAAATTCTCCATTGCCAAATCCTCTGCATTCCCGGAAATTCTGTGACAATTGTCAAACCTGAAAATACGCCATCTCTAGTTTTGTGCTCACCTGCACTGGCCAGGCAGCTCCGTCGCCGAGGGCACAGATGGTGTGACCTTCAATCTGTTTGCTCAGCTCGTACAGCATGTCAATCTCATCGCGTTTGGCGTTGCCCGTCTCTGAAACAAAAACGCAATACCCGTCATCTTTCCAGCATAGAAACATTAAACGGATACAATGACAGATTGACTAATTTTTTAGATATATATTTTTGTCTTTGCTCCAAAGCAAAGCAAAATCACAGAAAAACAAAACAAAAAAGACTTTTTATATAAATACTGTTTTAATATGGACACACCAGTTATTAGTCCAACTTCAGAGAGAAATGTATGCAGCAGCACAACAATTCCCAAGAAGTAAAACATTCAGGCTGGCGACACTTTTGCCAGTCAAGTTATTATCTTTACATTACAGAAAAAAAACCCTCTCAATGTTAAAGATAAAGAAAACAGTAGAAACAACTCTACAGGTTATAAAGCCTATATCGCATTGCATATCCACCACCCATCCTCAAAGATATCAGCCTCAAAAGATATATCAGAACAATGAAGATTTCAAAAACAACAATTGAAGCAAAGTAAAACCACTCACGGAATCGGTGCATAATCTTCATCATCCAGCTGACGCCCTCTCGGCAAGGTGTGCACTGAAGAAAGAATGAATAGGCATTGAATCTACCTCTTACAGGAAAATCTGTTGCAGTTGCAGCATAATAGGTTTTAATATTTCCTCCATGCTAAAACCACTATATGCCAATACTGTTTAAACCTGTCAGCTGATGTTGAGAGAAAGTTCAAAAAGCTCAATACATCTAAATAAAACAACCCCAAACCCCCAAAACAAAACAAACAAATCAATAGTTCTGTTGAAGATAAAATTTTACAAACACACAGAACAAAAACTGCTTACAAACAATATATTAGAGCAAGTTATTTCACCTGCGCCGAATGGATTATTCTGTAAATAATGAATACAATAAAGCTCAACAGTGAATGTCACAAAAGAAGGATAGCAAGGCTTGAGGTTAAATGAATAGTCAAACTTGCCCATGACGTCCATCCAGAGAGGAGATGAAAAGTGGTAATCTTTGACAGAGGGTTGTCTTACAAAGTAGCATGATAATATAGAATATAAATGCAATGGGGAAAGTGGGAGGTGGTTGTTTGTACAGAGTGATAGACTTGACCAGTTTTGATTGTTGTACTTTCAATAATTCATAACCCCCCCCCCCCCCCCCCCCCAAAAAAAAAAACCCAAAAAAAAACCGAGGCAATATTTACCTGTCCACAGCTCTCATGCTTGTAGAAGTCAATGAGTCTGGCAATGCAGCGTACAATGTCGGACGACTTGTTCATCACAATGATGGCCGCCGTGCCGAGGCCTGTCTGTACTCGAATCAGGTCATCAAAGTCCATCAGTACAGTGTCACACTCTCTGTACAGGGACATGAGAGGAACAATTTGTTTGAGTAAAGAGATGCAAATTGACGGGGTAACTGTCATTTCCAGCAAGAGAAAAATAAGACAGGCAGACAGAAAAAACCAGAGCGGAAAGAACCCCCCTCCCCCCCAAAAAAACCAAACAGCCTTCTTGTGGCACCCTCCAACTAACAGCAAAACCAAAAAAAGAGCAAATATTAATCAACAAAAGTTCATATACAAGTGTCACTTTGTGCCAGTTAAAAACAATCTTTGATTACAGAAAGAGACTTTATAATATAATTAAGCTTCTTCTTCTTCTTCTTCTATCCCGTGGTTGGGGCAACTGTGGGGGCACCACTGCATCTGAAAACCAGCTCTCGCCATCTATTTTTGTCCTCTGCTTTCCTCAGATTGTCACCCATCGTCTTTCCTGTCCACTCTGTAATGTTGTCATCCCATCTCCTTCCCTGCCTTCCTCTCTTTCTCTTTCCTTGTACGGTTCCTTGCAGGATTGTTTTGGCTAGTCCTGTGGATCTTGTGACTTGCCCATACCATTTTAATTTTCGTCTATTTACTGGGGTAAGTAGATCTTCATACTGCCCCATTGCGTTGGTGATTCTCTTTCGTACATCAGCATTTGAAACGTGGTCTTTGTACGAGATGTCAAGGAGTCTGTGGTAACATCTCATCTCTGTAGTCTGAATCTTTTTCTCTAATTCTGCTGTTAGTGTCCACGACTCGCAGGCGTATAAAATATTGAGATGACCAGTGAATGCATTAGTCTGATTTTTGAGTTGTGCGTGATGTTTCTGTCCCTCCAAATAGGCTTCAGTTTTGACAGCGCAGCTGTTGTTTGCGAGATTCTGGAGGGAATTTCTGGTCTTGAGCCTTCATCTGAGACGATTGATCCAAGGTATTTGAAGCTGTTGATGGTCTCAAGTTTCTCGCCCCTGAATTTGATGTCCATGTTGATGCCATTTGGTGTTATTGGTCATTAGCTTGGTTTTCTCGGCCGTGATCTCTATGCCGTAGGCTTCGGGGGTCGTGTCCAGCCGCTCCAGTAGTGTGGCGAGCTCCTGTTCTTCTCCTGCTAATCCATCGATGTCATCGGCAAAACGCAAGCGAGCAAACAGCCTCGCCTCACCCCGACCGTCGTCCTGAACCAATCCCCCATGCTGCCGTTAAGGTAGACTGCGCAGGAGGCCGTGTCATATAATTGTTGTATGACGTTGATCAGGTTGGTGTTGATGTTATATTTCCTCATGGTTGCCCATAAGGCTGCATGCCAGACCATGTCAAAGGCCTTTTTAAAATCCATGAAGATATGGTATAGGTATTGTTGGTGTTGGAGGTACCTCTCGCACAGTATCCTGAAGTTGAAGATCTGTTCAGTTGAGCTGCGCCCTGCTCTAAAGCCTGCCTGCTCTTCGGCAATGATCTTTTCTGCCTGTAGTTTCAATCTGTTCAGCATTATCTTCCACATAACCTTACTGGGGTGGCTTAGTAGACTGATGGTGCGGTGGTTCTGACATAGTTGCAGGTTACCTTTCTTGGGGAGTGTAATCACTAGTGATTGTGATTATTTAGCTTACTGATCAGTAAAAAGGTCACTGGCGATTAGAAGACTGAGAATATAAGAATAAAACAGACAGTGACATGTCATGACTTCGAGAACTGTCTAAATATCACTGATCATCGGAACACACATACAATTTGTAATATCCAGAACAGACACAGAGACTGGTCACATTTACACACACTGCTTTTTTGTGTTGATGCATAAAAATTGTGATAATGATAGAAGACCTTTACATATCAGACAAAGGACATTTTACAATGAAGCTATGAATATCAGATGACCTTTCAACTATCACTTACTCTTTAGGGATAAGAGGGGTGGAAGATCCGCCAGGGATGACAGCAAGCAGGTTGTCCCAGCCCCCGATGACACCACCAGCGTGTCGCTCAATCAAGTCCTTCAGAGGCACTGACATCTCCTCTTCCACAGTGGTAGGGTTGTTGACATGACCAGAGATGTTGAACAGCTGAAGGATGGAGAGAGAGAAATTCAGAACGAAATAAGTGGCCTCCTCAATGTAGAAACTAAGAAATGTTACAAGTGAAGAGTGGACCAAATACAAAAAAGTGGAGTAATTAAAAATAAACTGTATATAATAAACTTGTCTCAGTCACAAAGGGATAACTGGCTTATAACATTTTCGAAAACACTGAAACGAAGAAGCAGGTCCAAGAATGTTTCTTTTTTTTTTTTGTAACTATATGGAAAAAAAAAAATATCAGAGAACTACTTTTTAATAGTCTATAATAGCCTGTGCGGTGTCGCTGGCCTAGTGGTTAAGCTACCAGACTCGTAATCATGAGCTTGCGGGTTCGGGAGTTCGAGCGGTGGGCTCGATGTTGTGTCCTTGGGAAAGGCACTTTACTCAAATTTTCCCCACTTCATCCAGGTGAAAATGGGTACCCGGCTATAGACAGAGAAAGAAAGATCTTTTCAGTTTGTAAGTGTTTGAGAGCTTAACCAGCTGCTCGCACTGTATGCTTCCCGGGAACCTAAGAATGTTTCTGAGTGTTCTATGGTCTGCTGGGGGTAATAATATAGTGTAAAGCGCATAGAGCTTGCTTTCCAGTGGGGATATGCGCTATACAAATGCTATTTATTATTATCATTTATTATTATTAAAACAATGAATCCTGCAGAAATCGAAAAGTGAACCAGCTTTAGTTAAAATAGATGGTCATCTAACAGTTTTGTCAGTACCAAGCAGAGTAACAACCGGATAAACATAGAATGAGAAGAATCAACCCGTACTTCAGCAGACTTGACCACTTCATTCTGTACACGATTCTGAAGTGACGTTCATAGCAAGAACACAACGCACCTTGGTACCCCTGTTCCTGTCCCTTCCAAAACTGGCAAACCACTCTCCACCGCGGCGGCAGATGTCCGGAGCCACAGCAACAGTTTCCACATTGGAGACTGTGGTAGGGCAGCCAAAGACACCCACATCAGCTGGGAAAGGGGGCTTAAGGCGGGGCTTGCCCTGCTTGCCCTCAAGAGACTCAATCAGCGCCTGTAAGGGGGGG